ATTTTACCCTTATGGGTGGTCATTTGATGTTTTAGCCCCGAGGGCAATTTAGTCTTTATTTCTTTTCTTTATTGGTGAGACCTATATATAGGTCATTTCTATTGTATTTGAGGGATGATGATTTGATAATGAAATTTCATGTGTTTTTTTTTTTTCTTCTTCTTCTTCTTGTGAGTGCACTAGAGAGAATAGAGAGAGAGCTCAAGGTGAGCAAGCGCAATACCCACCAGTCGTTGGAAGAGTCCGCGACTCGTGGTTTTAATTTATCTTTGTCTTCTCATCCGTTTCCTCCACCCCACCCGCCAACTATCCCCTAGCTTCCACCACCGGCAATCCCCCCCACCCAAATCACCCCACAAATCCACCACCTCAAGCTCCAACCAACAGCCAAAGCCCCTTTTCTCCTACCCGTCCATAATCTCCCACACCAAACCACCTCCCAACCGCCGGTCAAGCCCACCCGCCACCCTTCCTTTCGCCTCGTCGCCTCCACCCCCTCAAACCACCGCCCCCTAATCCAATCAAGCCCCAATCCGCCGGCCTCCCCATTCCCTCACCTTGAATCCCACATTAAATTTCCCATTCAATACCTTCCATGTTTGGCCACATTATTTTTTGGAAAGAATTCGAATTCAAATCTAATTGATTTGAATTTCTAAAACTTCCTAAATCAACCCAAACCATTTTGGAAACCATTCACTCTAGTTAAAACCTGAAGTTAATGATGTGAAACAACATGCGATGGAAACAAGAACTGTTTGGGGATTTTAATACAAGATTGTTAAAGCTTTGCTAGTTATAGAATTAATGCGTACCCAAATTAAGTTCTCGGAATTATCAAATCAAAATTAAGTACGGCATGTGGTTACAACTAGATTAATGGGACAATATCAAATTGACAACATTGAATTAGAAAGTAATGTCATGGAGAGAAACAATAATCCACAATTAACAAATAGAACTTTTCACCTTGGGTCTCTCACTCACTCTCTTGTTGGTGGCACTTGTAATGGAGGAAGATTGAGAGCAACCGAGCGATGCCACTAGGAGACCAATGGCGCACAAAGTGTAGTCCGTTGGAGTGGTAGCCGGTGGCGGGTAGTCCATGGGTTGATTAGAAAGCATCCAACGTCTTATCTTTTCTTCCTTGATCATCAAAGACGAAGCCAAGCAAGTATTTTCAAATCTGAAATAAAATCAGATCTCTGGATTTGGAGAGAGGAGTTGGGTGGAGAACTCAAGTCCAATCCATAGGAGTTCTTGGGTAGAAGAGAAGTCTTCAAAAAGAAATTTCAGATTTTCTGAAACAGAGTTTAGTGAGGAGACACGTGGGAGTAAAATTTGATAACCAAAATGATCTCCAAAGGAGGAGGAGGCAGCGGGTAAAGAGGGATTAATGGAATTAATGGGAGGCCATTAATGGGGAGAGGGGAGGGGGATCAAAACTGAAATGATTTCAGTTTTAAAACAAATGGAGGGAAAATTATTAGAGCTGAATTTGAGGTGTTATTAATGTCAAATTGGAAGGGGAGAAGAGCCCATCAATGGCCGGCCACATGGAGGGGAAAAGAAAGCTTAAGCATTAATCAAATGGGGCCCACCTGCTTAAGTAACAGATTTTACTTAAAATCTGTAGTAAATTCATTTTCAATAAAAGGAAAATTTCCTTTTCATGGGTGTATGTGATAAGCAGCTTTTGAATTTCAAATATAATCAAATGCTGGATAGGATTTGCTTTAATGGCTGATTGAAAGAGCCATTAATCAAGCATTAAATGCTTGATTTCCACGGTTTGGGCCACAGCAAGTAACGGCATCCTTGAGAAAATCAGTGAGCTGAGGAGGAGAAGGGGGCTCACGGATTGGCTGTTTATTGGGTTGATGAACGGCGGGTGGGAGGGGAGATGGTTGCACGGGATGGAGTGGACCCGTGGCAAAAACCTGGGGAAGATTGGCCGGCGGGAGGTTGCAGCCAAGGAGGCCGGCGGCTCTAGGCAGGCCAATGCTGGGCGGTGGCAGCTGCAAGAGGAAGGAATTAGACCAACTTTCTTTGGTGTTCTCTACGTGATTTTCACTCTCCACAAACTCTTCAATCTAAATCCTCACGACGACGACAAACTCACGTGGAGTGAAGGAAATTAGTAGAACAAGGAAAAAAGAAAGGAAAATAGGGGAGCAAGAAAGAACCTAGAACTCACAAAGAGATCTAGCTTCTCCTACGAACTCACTAAGAGATCGTGGAGGTTTGCACTCACAAAGAGAACAAGAAAAGTCAAATTTTCATTCATCAAAAACTAAATTATTACAAGAGAATGGCCATATAAATAGGCCTCACAATGGCAAAGAAAAACAAAGGACTAAAATGCCCCTTGGGCTACAATAGCAACTAACCACCCATAAGGGCGAAAACGGAAAAACATAAAAATCAAATAAACTACTACATAAAATGACTCAAAATAAACTCATGATCGTGGCCGTCGATCTCCGGCGTCTCCTGATGGTACACGTGTCGAAAATGCTGACGATGTCCTCATCAGTTAATTTCAGATTTTAATTATTCCATCAATCATTAATGTCATGGTCCACATACAACGAATTTAGACACAAATACTCCTATCTCTCTCATAGCCGGCCCACTCCCCCATTAATTCTCCTTAATCCTTGCCTCAATCAATCAACATTTATGTCCCCAATTAAGGAGGATTAAATGCCCTTCCCTATTACGTTTAGATTTCAAATTTTAAATCTCTTTCCCTCCAAAAGCTCCCCCATAATTAGGAATTCAGAATTCGGCTGGCCCTAAATCTGAATTTAATTTCAGATAATTTTAATCTCCCTTTTTTCCAGTCCATCCAAACCCGGGCACCAAAGCCATGTGATTTCTCCCCATACTTTAGCGGCCCCTATTGCTTGCTGCCCTCTGTTTTTGGGCAGTTACGGCTTGTTGTCCTGTGATCCCAGCAAGATTAACTTGCTGCCAAGCGATTCCCAAGACTTCTAGAGGTTGTCTACAGCCTCCATTTATGCATAGCTGCTGTCCGAGTTTACTAGGAGTCAGCTACACTGCTGCCGATCAGATTTCTGCGCTCCCATGCATGCAGGCCAGCCCTTGAATTCATCCCATCACTGTCTAGACCTTCCATGGTTGTTGTTTAGAGCTTCAAACACCTGAAACTTGCTATTCAGGCAACCTGGAATGTGTAATTGCTGTCCAAGAATTGCAAGGTGGTTCCTTATTATTGAGGTGAGCTCTCTTCCCACTCTTATATCGCCTAACTCTACTTCGATTGTGGAATTATTGAGTCATAAAGAATTGTATTAACTTCCTCCGCTAGAACCTCATGATTAAGAGAGTGATTAAGGGGATGACTTCATGGTAACTAATCTCATTGTTAGTTTAGGAATTATCGTTGAAAATCAACCACGAACGTAATGTTAGATTAATTGATTGTTTTACTACCTTAACTCTTACGCATATGATTTAGCCTAAGCTGGTTTTATCTCCTTATTGTTTTTATCTTAGCGTTTAAATCGGCATAAGTTTTATTTAACATTGTTCTTGAAATATTAAGCGTGCAAATTTCTTTAAATAACTCATCTTCACATGTTTGTTCTACATCAAAAACACTGTTTCACTCTGCGCTTTCTGTATTTAAACAAACAGGGACTTGAGCAAAATATTGTAGTCATCGCTTTGAAAAAATTGTTTGATATTTTATGAATTCTTGCATCATATTACTTCTCATGGTAAAACTAAAGATAACTGGACTTGATTTTTCAATTTGATGTTGCTTGTTGAAAAATTGAGTCAAAATTAAATTATATGGAAAAATCTCTATTACTATTGAAGGGCAATGGTTATATGCATACATACATATTTTTTGTGTTCTCCTTATTGAAATTAACATGTTTACCTTGGATCAAATCAAAATAATGTATTTATAACTTTGATTCGAACTTTAAGTCGAAATTTAAATATTTGATTTTGTGAGGATTGATTGCTTGCTTGACTTTCACTGAAGCATGATACCATTTTGAGTGTTGGAATTGTAAGTTTTAGATAAAAAGTTGGGAATTGGGAAAAAAAAATCATGTTAAACATCTATTTCTAGGCCGCATCACTTCACCGCTGCCATTCTAGATAATTTTTTCTCAACTCTTTAGCATTGCTCTGTCAGACTTCCTAGCTTTTAGAATAAAATGAGTCATTTGTAATAGTTTTCTTACTTTTTAGTATAGTATAAAACTGTCTTCACTGTTTTGAAAATGAAGTAGGTATCATAATTAAAGATAGGACCAGAATTGGAAAAAATTTGCTCCTTTCAACTCTACTAATATGTATAATAATATATAAGAGCGGAGGAATAGTAATCATTTGAAGGTAGTTAAATATTTCATTAAAAAAAAGAAGTCAGGATATCCTTACGTTTTTTCCCTTAAGATTTATTTGTTGCCTTTACAGTTGCTCTGAGATAAGTGAAATACAAGTCTTGATTGGTCAGGCACATATCTCCATATATTTCACTTATCTCACTGCTAATTTAATTGCTACAAAATTCATACCGTCCAAAAAGTCTGAGGACATATTGACACTTTTTTTCTTTCTTATTTCAGCACTTTCCTTCTAATTTATTTGGTAAAAATTTTAAAATTAATCAACTTGCTTGCATGAAATTCACCATGGTAGGCATGATAAAAGAAAAGGAGTGGGAGGGGGGATATTGATTTGATCCATGGTTAGGAAAGAGTAAGAAGAAATGTAATATTGATTGTTCAGATGAACATATTGGTATTACTTGCGCTGGAAAAAAACTTGTTTGGATGAAGCAGTATAAAAGAAAAAAAAGGTGAGATACGAGTAAATGATGCTTAGAAAACATTTTCTGAGAACAAAGTTTATTCTTTTATGTCACAACTTTCTTTAGTTCAAAAGATCCTGCATTTATATGGTTAAGCTAATTTTTATCTGCTGTTTGAATTTTCCGATTTTGTTGTATGCAGATCACTTTACCTTATGATGCTCCACAATTGGCTGAAGCAACTAGGAATACAGCAGCTATTTATTTGGCATGTGGTGTAGACACATCCAAGGTATCAAATCTGTAGTTCATTGTAACTTACCCTACCCTTGGTTATCCTCAAATGCGCTAAATGGAAAACATTGCTTTTGAACTTGGCACAGGCTTCTGTATTTGTACAGTCACATGTCCATGCACATTTAGAGTTAATGTGGCTATTGTGTTCTGACACACCAACTGGTTGGTTGAATAGAATGATCCAATTTAAAGAAAAATCACGCAAGGCGGTGCGTTGCTGCTGTACGACAATGTGATCTCTTCATTTTGATATTTATTTTATTTGTTTATTTCAATTGCAATTACTTCATTTCTTGAGAAGCTAAAATAAACGCAATCAAATTTCAAACAAGAAAATTTTTGCAATGCTGTTGCAAGAACTATCACATGCTAGATCCATGATAAACTCCTATCTTGTCTGTTTTTTATTTTTTTGGTTGACTAATGATGCAAGTTTGCATTAACAATTCATCAAGGTTTGTCATTCTCATTTGTCATCTCGAAGATGATAAGCATTTCAAGGGATCATATTTATCTTATGAATTTGTTCATCCAAATCTATTCTATGATAGCTTGTCAAAAATACCATCTATGGCGCATAGAGGACCAATGGAATTTTTGGCATCGTACAAAGCCAAGTCATTGCAACTGATGATTGTGAACTTGTTGCAGGGGAAGAAGAGGGTAGAGGGTAGGTTCAAGATGTCCGTGGATGGAAGAACTAGCATGTTTAGAGTGGACATAGTTGTTGGTGATGAGGTAGAGGACCAAGGGAATTTTTGGCATCGTACAAAGCCAAGTCATTGCAACTAATGATTGTGAACTTGTTGCAGGGGAAGGAGAGGGTAGAGGGTAGGTTCAAGATGTCCGTGGATGGAAGAACTAGCATGTTTAGAGCGGACATAGTGGACATAGTTGTTGGTGATGAGGTAGAGGACTACGGTGTTTACGATGTATGGTAAAGATGGAGGTAATTTGATATTGCAAGTCACTGGAGATGTGAGCATTGGAATGGAGGAATAGTTGTTACAGGTGGAGCAATCTGGGGAGGCTGCAACTGGGTTCGATGTTAAAGGGAAAGGTATGTTGATGTTGATACAACTTTATATCTAGGTAGTTCAGGGTAGTGATGGGGTAAGGAGGAATATGGTAGGATGAAGAGTAAGTTGAGGTGGAAGAGGAGGGGTGTTGACACCTATAATATATATCTCACGCTAATTCGAGCTCGTTTGATAAGATCTACGATCGATTGATGAGACACCATGTGAGTGGGTTCAACGCCTCTCGATGCCACATGAAATCATCCAAAATATCATCCGCTTGCAAAAAAGAATAGCACCATCGTATGTAGAACGCTTTCATGCATAGCTCGATTGGACGACGAAAACAACAAACTATGAGTAGGACATTGCACAAACTTGTCCAAGCCACTTTCGATCATTAAACAAACTATGTCATTGCGTTCATATTATGAAAATTATTCAAGAAAGACTTGCTGCGTTCAACTCTAGAAAATGCGATTGAAAATGGCAAACTATGAGTGACATTATGTAAAGTTGCTTGAACGATCTTCGTTTGCGAAACAAGCCGTGCCATCATATTCGGAACATCCAACTTGTTAGGAAAGGACATTCATATAAGCTAGGTGCTCTTGCCTGCACAAGGAAAATGATGAAAATTTATTTGCACACTCGAAACGAGGTGAAATACGACACATTTAAGTGACAAAAATTAGCAAGTCAATATGATTTTAAAATAAAATTTTATTTATCATTCTTATATTTTTTGAATTTTAATTTAAAATTTAGTAAATTTAAATAATTAAAGTTTATAAAAAACAATATTAAAAAATCAAATAAAAAAATTCAAAAGTCTTGAATCTTTTAAGGATAATAGTTCACTGGTTTTCCTTTTGCTGCAAATGGATAACCCTATATGTTTATTTAATTTTAAGAATAAAAAAAGAAAAAAATTAAATCACACTTGCATCATCCCCTAATCGGCCACTCACTTGCTCGATCTTCCTAGTCGCATGCCTTCTCTCTTGCACACAAGTTCTCATAGTCGATCATGTCTAGACAAGCTGTGAACTCGCCGACCAAGCGTCGCCGACCCTATCTGTCTTTGTGTCGACCAGCCTGACTGATTGCCCCCCGACCCTAGCTGCTACTGGCCGGCTGGCCAACCACCACCGTCCAAGTCACTAACAACTCCCTCTCTCTTTCTCCCTTCTTCCTTTTTATTATTATTACTATTATTTTTAATCTTCTTCTTCTGTTTCCTCTTCTCGATATTCCTCCATTCTCATGCCTCTCTTTTTTCTCATTCTCTCTCTAAACACAAGAGAGAGAGAGAGAGAGGAAAAATAAAGAAAGTTCTCTCTCACCCCTTTATCTCTCTTCTCTGCAAAAAACCTCCCCTCCTTCCTCCCCACCACCTCTCTTCTCACCTCTTTTTTTCTCTAGGTAGAAAGAGAACTCTCAAAAAAAGAAAAAAGGCCTCACCTTTATTCTCTCTCTCTCTCTAAATGGAGAGAGAAAGTCATTTCTCTCACATCCTTTTCACTTTTTCTCTCTAAATATAGAGAAAGAAATCCCTTTCTCTGTCTAGGATATCCCCAAACTGATCTTCTCTATCTAAAAAGAGAGGAGAACCTCCCATTGTCTTAAAAAAATGATAAAACATAAAGTTATCCCAAAAAACCATAAAAATACAAAAAATAGTGTTTCTTGTAAGTTTTGTCTTATCAACTTTCTCCGCTTCGCCTTTGTGCGCGTAGATATAATATTATAAAACTTATAAAAGCCTCTAAACATCATTAGTGACACGTTCGACGTGATGAGTGGATCCCCGCATAAACTTTTCTTAACGTGGTGGGAAGTAAAATTATTAGCGATCTTCACTGTGTCGAACATGTCACTAACAGGGTTTTGTGGCTTGTATGAGTTCCCGAATATTTTATTTACATGCACGAATGTGAAACAGCCACTATTGAGACAATGAAAATTGGAAGCAAACACTATTTTTTGTAAATTCTTTTTTTATTTTTATTTTTTGTATGTATTTTTGCTTTTTGATTTTTTTAAGAGAAGGTTCTACTTTGGGTTTTGGGGAAGTTATGGAGAGAGAAATATGAATTTCTTTCTCTGTTTATAGAGAGAAAGCAAAGAGAGTTGAGAAAAGAAAGGTGAGGGGTTTTCTTGGGAGAGTTCTCTTTGCTTAGAGAGAGAAAGAGGTGAGGAGAGATAGAAAGAGCGAGAGAGGCCGAGAGGATGTGAGGGAGTTTTTTTTGGAGAGATAGAGGGTGAGAGACTATTTTTTTCTCTCTCTATTTAGAGAGAAATAAAAAGGGAAAGAAGAAAGAAAAGAATGGAGGAAGATAGGGAAGAGCAAGGAGAAGTAGATTAAGGAGGGAGTGAGGGAGAGAGAAAGCGAGAGAGGATGAACTTTGCCTTCCCCCCACGATGATTCTTTGTTCATCACCATTGCTGAATTTTTAATGACCTTGGTTCTAACATGACTCATCGTTGGCTTTCTTCCACGCGGATGAGAGAAATAGTTTCGTTAAGTGATAGCGTCTCCTCTATGCCGAGGATATGGACAATAACTTGATCAAATTCTGCATTTAGTCTAGCAAGGAAATCATAAACTATCTTTTTCAATAAAGTTTTTTAGGATCGCAGCATCCTCCGGACATCTGGTTTTTATGCATTTGTAGTGATCAAGTTCTTGCCATTGATTTTGTAGAAGGGTGGCATACTCTGTCACGCTCTTGTTCCCTTGCTTTGTGCTTCCTACTTTGACTTTAATTTCAAAGATTTGAGCTGCATCCCGGGCTTTTGAGAAGGTCTGTCTGGCAGCATCCCATATGCCCTTTGCAGTGGAAAGGAACATAAATGTATCACGAATTTTTGGAGTCATGGAATTCCACTACCATGACATAATCATGGAGTCTGCTTCATTCCATGCCCCAAAATTTGGATCTCCTTCTTTTGGTCCTCCGAGGAAGTAATGTATTTTTCCTTTTCCTTTTAAGCAGGTCTTCACAAATTGAGACTACTTTAAGTAATTCTTCCTATTTAGAAGCTAGGAAGGTTGCATGCTTTGGATGTCACCTCGTCCTTTGTGCACCAGCGACCCAATTTGTTTAATGCTCTGGGAGGAATTGATTTCTGACATTATGATAGTATTTAAGACTAGATGTATGACATTGGGTAGCAATGAAGGTTTCCCAGAATTTTTTTTTTTCATGTTCGACAATAAAAGGTCGAGAGGGAGTTTTTTTTTTATAGGAGAAATCTTCCTGGTTAATTTAACCGGGCCGATCCGAGTCTTTAAAAGACTTAGTTTGGGTAACTAGGGCATGCACGCAGGGAGCTCGAGCGGGGTGTTCGACTTCCTTGCTTCGCAAGGCTTCTTCGGCTTCTTCCTTGAGGTGGACTACCGACTTCCGGCTCCGGCTTCAGGCATCGTTCGGTAAGGCTTCTTCCCGCTCGGTTCCCTCATCCATTCGTGGCTCTGATACCATGTTACAGACGAGAATTTGAGAGGAATAAGAGGGAAACTCTTGATTTTATTGCATACAACTATCCCTATTTATAGATATGTACAAGATGTCTTAACAAAGTAACAAGTAACTTCAAATTGATACATAATTGCCTCAATATGATCTTTCCTAATTCAACTACTCTTATTTGGAAAGAAATCGTCGGGAGAGTAATTCAGTTTGAACGGCTAGGATTGTAACATATACCAGTTTGATGTAGCCCAATTGAACAAAGTATAATTGAAAGTTGATAGGAATGAGATAACTTTACCATTAAAGAAAAATTATATGAGATATAAGTGGGGAATCTCAATTAAAAACTATGAGGGATCACTCACTGAAAATGAACAAGGATTCACTCACCCAAAGGTGGGAAGAACAATTAAGTTCCAATGTATGCTTCATCATTTATCTTACCATTATCATTTTTTCTACAGTTAATGACAGCATAAAAAGGCTTGATGAGGACCACAAGGCAATAAATTTGGCTTTTTTCAGTTCATATGATTAAATTCTATTCGTTGGACAAAGCAAATCAGTTCCAATTGATAATTGAAATCATGCGCTTAATTTATTGTGGATCATCAAGCTCCAAAAAATTTAGGATGGTGTCTATTAACGACCAAGTTCTTCACTTTTTGGAAATGACTTTGATGGAATATGATTTATAATTGCTACAAATTAGCCATCTTTCATTTTTTGGATCAAGGAATTGAATTTAAAGGTCGGTCATTGTAAATTTTGAATCTTACACATTTATTTCATTGGGTAAATGTAATGTTCAATTGCTACAAATTTTACATCTTTCACGCAATGCAAGGAATTTTCTAACCTATACAAGAAACAAATTGTAACTTGTAAGGTTCTGTTACTATTTGATCATATGATTTCCTTATGCATTTATAGAATTTTTTTTCCCAGTTAAATTACCAGATGCCTGTTTTTCCCAGATAAAGTCCTGAATTTGACCTTTTTTTTAAGGGCGATGAAAACGTTGGAGCAGCCCTTCTAACATATCCTGTCCTGATGGCTGCTGATATTCTTCTTTATCAGGTAGACCTATCTGATTTTTTTTTTTTTAGTTTTTCAACTTTGTTCTGTTCGTTGTAAATAGGCTTTCATTTGAATTCACTCTATTGTCATTTGAATGTATGGTCCAGTTTGTTTTTGTTGAGTTCATTCTTTGTTATATGTTCCCTACAGTGATTTTTTCTGGCCTTTTATTGACATATAGTTGTTTTGTGTTATAATTCAGTCTGATTTTGTCCCCGTTGGGGAGGATCAAATGCAACATCTTGAGCTGACTCGTGAACTAGCTGAGAAAATGAACCACCTGTATGGGGGGCGGAAGTGGAAGAAATTGGGAGGGTAGGTTTTGCTTTTTCATTGTCTAACATCTTGAAATTGGCCTACCTGCTTGTTTTTACCTTGGTTCTGATGTTATTTTCTCTGAATGTAGGAAAGGTGGTGCACTTTTCAAGGTATACCTCGTGCCTTCCATTTTCTTGTCTTTAACTCAAGAAGATGCGGAGCTGCTCTTTTAATTGCTAAATATTTTAATCCTGGTGTCTCTGTATACAATTTAGGTCCCTGAAGCTCTTATTCAGCCAGCAGGTGCTCGGGTTATGTCTCTTACTGATGGTCTTTCGAAGGTAATTAATGGCTATTAGTTTAGGAGGAAACCGTTGTTTCTCTTTTGTGTGCTTGTTCGCTGTCTGATAGAGCATCCTTTATTGTCTTTTACTAGACTTAAAGGCATCAAATGGTCATGAACTCCACTTTTACTTTGAAATACACATAAATATTGTTTTTTTTGATAAATTCTTCACCTACTGATTTTATGGTGGGTATCCGTAGATGTCAAAGTCGGCTCCTTCAGACCTGTCTCGTATCAATCTTCTGGACCCAAAAGATGTAAGTGAAGATTTCAACCTTTTATATTTTGTTGCTTTTTCTATTGAACGTCTGAACCATATCTATAAATATTGCTGACGCAACTGCATTTTGAAATTTTTATCAACCAGACAAAACCACCAACTAGTGATTGAATTATCCACATATTTGTAAGTAGTTAATTAGTTAGAAAGTAGTTTATGGCCATTAAAATAATATTTTCTTCATAATTCTCCTTTTTGTTGTGGTTTTCAGATGGTTGTTGTCTTTGTTTTCTTGGTTTTGTTTTCTAAATTTATTAATTTGTCACAATTTCGTGGTCAATGACTGTCAATGGTCATTGAATTTTTCATTTTGTCCCCACTGAGACTGCTCAATAGGCGGCAATTTATGGCCGTCCGTTTAAAGTATAGAATGTTAAACTTGCATATAGATAAAACGCCTTTACCAGGCCAAAAATTTCAACTTTGTATTCTTTGTAAGTTTTGATGGTATTTTCTTTATTTTTTGTTACAAATCTTAGTCGTCGTTAGGGGTGCAAACGAGTCGAGTCGAGTTGAGTTTAGACCCTTATCGAGCTTGGCTCGTTAGTTGAAAACCACGAGCTCGTCTCACTGTAAACGAGCTCGAGCCGGCTCGCAAGCCATAGGAGGGAATTTTTAAATTTAGGCAGAATTTTTAAAAGTTAGGAGGGATTTTTAAAAATTAAGCAGGATTTTTAAAACTTAATCAAAATTTAGAAAAAAATATGAAATGTTTAACATTTAAATAAAACTTAGGTGATTTTTTTTAATATTTAAATTTAATAAATAATTTTTTTTGAAATGTAAATATGTAAATATGATGAAATGTAAATGATACATGAGTTTCTCTTCATAATTTTTTTGGCATGCTCCGAGACGGTCCATTTGACAAATTGGGTGATTGATAGATAGTTTTTACAGGTAATCAAATCAGAATGTCATCATGATTTGATTGGTACATGAGTTTCTCTTCAAATCAGGAGTAATTTTGTTTTTTTTTTGGGTGAAACTGCGTTCATTTTTGTCATCATTGTTGCATTCGATCAAGCGACTCAGCATTACATATGGAGAGATCAATAATTATGTTTTCATTTTCAAAATAAGGGCATCTTCACTAATTTCCACATCATTCTTTTTTTATTAACAAATTGTTATTAGAAGCGGGTATTTTGATTGCTTGTTCTTAAACGGCCTATAAATACTGAACTTTCCTTAATTATATTCCATTTAGTATCCTTGAGTCACATGCAATGATCAAAACACATTTTGTAGATTAGTATTCTATGAGGTTATTTTTTATTGGATGATGTTCGTTCATCTACCAAACGCTATGTTACTATTTCCATTCTCATTCTTTTAATCATTCTGCTGCTTTTCTTTGAATTTAGGTCATTGCTAACAAGATTAAGCGTTGCAAAACTGACTCACCTCCAGGGTTTGTAATATATCTCTACTGCAGTTGTTTTTCTTTTTCTATATTATATATTGCATGATATGCTCTATGACGTTCATGATGCCTCCATGTGCTGCGCATATGTGACAATGCAGTTCATATTATTTCTTCTGTAATTTCATTTTTCTCTGCTTTTCTATACACCTGTGGTACTTTCTATGCATTAGGCACTGTAGTTGGTTTGATTACAGGGACTCTTCTTAATACTACTTGGTAGAAATCTTTAACTATATATATTCTAGAGTTTGTGTCTGAATTTCATTTATTGTTTAACTTGTTACCAAGCCCTTGCGTTGAGAATTTGGAGAGAAAACTCAAGTGAAGGCTTGTATTTCACTAGTAGGCAATTAAAATAGCAACATACAATTTGTTCTTCAATCCGAGAGGAAGAACAACTCTCCAATCTCCGGCAACGCCAAGAGCCCAATGCAAGAAAACCCTAGATCTCAAAATTACATTGAAATTCAAGATGAGGAATCAATTCCCCCCTAATCCCCTAATTAAACACAAAGGACAATAATAAACTTCCTAAAACAGCCCCCAACATTCAAATTTTTCCTCCTAAGATCACCTAAGCCAAACATGGCCCACCTCTAAATCCCGCTCCCCCTCTGTTTTTTCCGCCTGGAATAGCAGTGGACCGGTCCAGCCAGCCCCTCCTGGGCCGGCGTAACAGAAATCTACCAGTACGAATGATGTGATGCGTTATTAATAGCATCATTCAGCTATTATCTCAAATAAATAAATAAATGACAGCAGAAGAAGTTGAGATACTTCAGTTTTGTAATTAACAAATACGTGAGGGTCCTTATGAGAATATTTTGAAAATGATGGATCTTTATGAGAGCATTTATGCAATTGGAAGGCGGTGGGCCACATAAGAATTGGGTTTTAAATTATGTGTGAGCAAACACACACAACACATACACAAAGACTCGAATTCAATACCTCTTAATTGGAAGCATAAGCTCTCAACCATCAAGCCAAGGTGAGTTGTGCCCACACATAATTATGTGTGGGACTAAATGGATCTACCATCTGCAACTTTGGTAAGGATAGGTCTTTATTCCGCCCGGCTCAAGAGAGCTGAACCCAATAGTGGGGGTGGGCGGGAACCAGATTAGCGTGTGGGATTCCCCCCTTTTGTGGGGCCCAAAAAAGCTATAATTCATTATGTAAGGAGAAGTTTAGGGAGAGATAATTAAGAAAGTTTTAATGATAATTTGGAGGGAATTATTTAGAGAGAGAGTTCAAAATTGAGAAGGAATTAATTAAGAAAAGTAGGTTGATTTGGGAGGGAAGTATGGGGAGCCTATTTAGGGCTAACTTTATATTATTTTCAGTTTATGCAATTTATTTCTTCTGTAGTTTTGTTTTGAAATAGTTCCTAATGGTATCTAGGGTTTGTAGGAGAGCCCATCTACCTCTCGAATAGTAAATCAATTGTATCTTGCTTTCTGGTTGAAGTATTAAAAAAAATCAGTCCATATCTTCAAGTTCCTATAGTTTTCTACCTGTTGTCTTGTTGTTTTTACTTCCAAGATGCATCAGTCTTTAACTGACTGAAGATGGTATCAAACATGGGATTGACAGAACATTGAAATTAGGTGCAAGTCCTTTTGAGCAAAGGTCTGTTATTTAAGTTAATTTGGTTGAGCCCTTATTGCTTTGTGATGAAATCCATTATTTAAGAAAATTTGGAGAAATAAATATGGTCTGTTTTGATGATTTTTCCTGTACCTCCTTGTAACAAAATGTTTTCAATGAGTTTTGTAGTTATTGAAAATATAGTGTGAGGCTTAAAAATACGCTCTTGACCATTATAGAGTTTCTTCATACTCTTGTTTGCTACATTTTCATGTTGCTAAAATTGTGTCATATATGCCATCTGCTTTCATTTGATTATTGCTTGATATATATAACAACTAGAACAGTTTTGGGTGAATTTTATACCAGATTGGAATTCGATAACCCCGAGAGACCTGAATGCAACAATCTTCTCTCAATTTATCAGCTTGTTACTGGCCGGACTAAAGAGGCAGGGTTTCTATTCACATTCAAGCTTCTTTATTGTCCTATCTTTTACACATTTTAGATTTGATCATACCTAACAAGTGTGCTTCTTTATTTTTCAATTTTCTGACTTAGATGAAACTCCCAAATACTAAATATTTGCTTGGCTCTTTGGAATACTTTTATTTTTGTAATTGACATCCGTACTACAAAAAAAGTTAAAGAGCTTTTTTTTTTTCTTTAACAGGAAGTTGCATTAGAATGCCAAAACATGAATTGGGGGACTTTCAAAATAGTCCTTACAGATGCTTTGGTCAATCAACTGCGCCCAATTCAGGTTAGTTTTGGTATATGCATATTGATTTTGCTTCAGAAGTTATGAATGATGCATTCACATGAGCTACTGCATGAGAAATATAATCATGTATAGGAGAGATTATTCTGTGCGGACACGGGACGGGAGAACCGTCCGATACTCCTCGGTACCGGTGCTCGGTACCCTGCTCGGCACCGAGCGCGGTACACTTTTGGGGTGATGTGGCGCATTTTTATTGGTCTCTGGACGCACAGAATAACTTGCCCATGCATGGAAAATATTTCTTCTACGTGAAGGTGTCGTTTGCTAGTAAATCTAAAAGTTTGTAAATATTGTCTACGATTTTTCATTTCAATTCTTTTATCTTATAGTTTATTTTATATGATTAATAATTGTTTTTATTAGTTTTTAAAGGATCTTCACTTGTTTTTTTCTGGACTGCACCTCCAATTAATCTTTTTTTGCAGAATCGTTATGAGGAGATCATTGCAGATCCGGCTTACTTGGATCAGATTCTATCAGATGGAGCTGCTAAAGCAGCTGAACTAGCTGAGTCAACTCTTACTAATATTTATCAAGCAAAGGGATTCCTAAGAAGAAGTTCAATAGTTTAATTCGAGTGATAGTTACATTCTTTGATCAGTTTGCTATTCTTTTGATGTGTAACCATAGCACACTGCGTTTCTTCTTTGTTCCTTAGTGAAAAATACGATTAAAAAATAATGATTTTGTAGAATAAGTTTTTTATTATTATTTAATTAAATTCAACAAAAAACAAGCAAATAAAATCTAAGGTGGATGAATAGGGATTCACTAAAATTAAGGTAATATAAATTGAGCGAATAGGAAGAGTTTTCATTAATACATTAGCTGAAAGTAAAAAAAAAAAAGCTAAAATTATCGTAACAATCTTTAAATTGTAATTTGAAGAAATAATGAGGCCTCTTAATATAAATTAAAAAAATGGTGATTTAAACATCTCTTAGGCTTCTGTTTGGATGGCTTTTTTTTTGTTTTTAAAAAGTAAATTTAAATACATAAATTATAATTTTTATATTAAAAATTTTTTAAGAAGCAATAAAAAATTGTACCACTGAAACCTTAATTTTTAAAATTTATTTTTTTTTGACTTTTTTTTTACTTGACCTTTTTTATTTATTAAAATTGTTTCTTTATCTTCAATATATTAAAAACTTGAATTTAGATTTTAAATTCAATATAAATGTTTATGGAGAAATTATTTCAAGATGACTTGAAATCTTTTTATTTATTTATTTAAATTTTTTTTTTAAGATGACTTGAAATCTTATATGATACTTTAATTCCATTCTTTCATGTAGAAATGCATATTGAATTTATACAAAAGGGCACATTAAAAATGAACATCAACAAAACAAATACAGATTTATTGTAAAATAAGAAGCCATAATAACCATTTAGTTTTTTTTTAAACCATTTAGTTGAATCAACACAAAAATACAATTTTGTATTTAGAAGAGAGAAGAAAAAACAGAACAGAGGTAGTTCAACAATAATAAAAAAAAAAAGTTGCTTCTACTACTGCGTTCATGATATTACCATATAATATATTAAGGCTTCGTTTGGGACGGTTTTCATCATGCTTCTTAAATCAATACAAAAAAAATCAGGAAATCAAGAAGAAAACCGTCCCAAACGAATCCTACTTTACCTCGCTTTTTTACTGTGAGTGGCACGAATGTAAAAAAATTTAAGGGTAGAACAAACTATAACAATATGCTTCTCTTCATGCCCAAAACATGCCTAAAATAATCTCATATAAATGATAAGTACATCCTATTTTATGATTATTGAGTAATAAAGTACATACATAAATAATAAAATACACTAAACTTAACAAATCTGAACCTCAAATGATTTAATAAATTTATTGTACTGCATCAGAAGATACCACAATCTCAGCCTCACCAGCCCAACTCTTTTGTTCAAGCACATCAAAATCACTAACTGGATCAGTAGGAACAAAATGTTCTCTCTCTCTTCTTAGAAAACCATAAACCTGCTTCAAATTTCCTCGTGAAGGCCGCGCATTCACTGCAAACTTGCAGATAAACACAAGCCGCCTTCTCATCTCCCATTTTGTTATGATTGTGGACTTGTAGAGCTTCCCGTCATCAAAACAACCTGCACAGATATGTGATGTAAATAAAGCAAGGTTAAATCTGAGCTTGCTAACAACTAAGGGTATAGAATCAATGAGATGAGATCTTGATTGGCTTGGTTCATTTAGTCATTTACTGCTGAGCCAAAATACAAAACAAACACAAGTTTTTTAACATAAAAACTTTGCTTAAAGAGTTCACGATCGACAGTCAAACATGAATGAGAAGTTAAGTCCAACACCATCAATTGAAAGTTTGACTGGATGAGTGCGGGTCTATGTTATGTGATGCTCATGTCAAGTAAAAAATGATCGATCAGGCCCCTTGGTTGTGCTATCACATTCATTTAACAGCTTATCAATGCTGTTCGAGAAATTATTATGTGCGGAGTTTGGACAGGAGAACCGTTCGAATTTGCTGAATATTTACTAAATATTTGTTGAGTATTTATAAATACTCAACAAATACTCATTAAATACTCAAAACTGAATATTTGCTGAGTATTTACAAATACTCAACAAATCCGGCCTGCTCTCCCCGTCCGGCCTCCGTACGTAATAATTTCTTGTTCAAGTGAGGCAAGATGAGCCAAATTTATGTAATCTTTGGAAAAACCAAAATAAATTGAGTCCTAACAAAAATTGAGATCAAAGCCACTTACCTGCCATAAAGCTTGCAATCCAAATATAAAATGTAATAAGTTTTTAAGTCATTCACATGCGTGCATGCACGACTACCAAATGTATTGTGGGAACTCTTCCTGGGGAATTCTATTTATTTGACAAAATCTTTAATGCACCAGTGGTGGATAGAAGCAGGTGCCAAGAGTAATTCAAAACACTTAGAATTTGTTTTAAGATGCTCACAAAAGGAGGAGGAATCCAAAGGTAACAGGTTTGCAGAATAGTTCTTCCATTTACAATAGGATTATCGAAACATTGGAACAATAATTTCAAATGCAAAAATGTGAAGGAAAAATTTTTAGGTCAAGACATACCAATCAAATTTTGATTAGGATGAATTTTCTGGCAATTAAATTTAATTTAAGATGAATACATTACATGGTTAAACAATCAACTCTTGTATTGCAATCATCTCAAAAATAAATACAATACCTAAAAGATCTTTGATGACCAAATTTGAAGCACAATATCTAACTCAATTTTTTTTTTCAATGTAAAGCATATCGATCACTTAGCTAAGGAATATAGGTTCAATTAGTGAAACAGTAAGTCTCAAATTTTAGAATTATTTAAAGATTAAAAGACAAGGAAATTTGTAGTCTTCAGGTATAAAACAAACTGAATATTAGGTACGCTCAATAAAATATTAATTTATTTTGCATATGGAGGGTACCATGCCAATTGCCAACTATAAGAAATCAGCCAATAACTTAAAAGTCATGTTCTAGAGAAAACTATTGCTCTTTTTTTTTTTTCACAAATTATGTAATAATTGGAATTTGTAGACTAATAAGTTCATCAACTAAAGCATAATCACATTGCAAATAATTGAAAAGTAAACTACATCAAACCTTTATCCCACCAGATGGGGTCGGCGACATGAATCCTTTTTCTCCATTGTGTTCTATTCAGAGTAAAATTTTAATTTAAATCTAATAAAAAAATCATTTCAAATACTTTATAACCAAATCTTTTTAGGTTTGCCTCTACATTTCTTAACATAGGTCATATCTAATACATCTACTCTCCTAATCATGTCATCGGATGGCCGACATTTTATTGACCAAACTATCTAAGGCATCTCTCTCTAATCTTATCCGCGACTTGAGCTACTACAATATTTTCACGTATATACTCGTTTCACATTTTATCTTTCTGTGTAAAACCACTAATCTATCTAAGCATCCTCATCTCTGTAACACTTAATTTTTTGATTCTCTTTTAATGGACAACATTATACGCCATAACGCAAAGTAGGTCTCACCACCATCTTATAGAATTTTTTCTTAAGTTTGAGGGATACTTTTCTATCATACAATAGGCCTGGTGCATTCCTCCACTTCAAACATCAAAACTTTAATTCTACTAATAATATCCCCATCTATTTCACCATCAAATAGGAGTTATAACATATTCTAAGGTCACTACACAATAAAGCTAAAATAGTACATAATGTCAAAAAAGAACATTATTGACATAAAAATAGACTTTCATAAGACTTTTTGAACCAGATTTTACTCGAATCAAAGAAAAATACAATGAATTAATGTTATGAAGCATTTACAATTTTTTTTTTCTTAATCCAGAGCACACTAATTTACCTTAATTAAAGTCTCATTGTCACGAATTTTTTATAAAAATATAGAAATAAGCGCAACAGTGTGGAGGAGAGTGACAATCACTTTTATTAGATGCCTATCACGCAATAATAAAAGACAGAAAGATATGGAAACAATCCTAAATAGTAGATTCCAGACGAATAACTATAATAAGGGAAAGGGAACAAATAAAGGGAAAACTTTCAATAAGGAGATATTTTAAGACAGGCATGATGAAGACAGAAAGGAAGATGAATTCTCCTCTGATTAAGATTGAGGTGAGACATTTGCAGTAAAATGTAATTTAACCAAAAGAGAAGGTATTTGCACGGGGAAGAAGAAAGTTATTTGAAATTTTTTAATCTGCCATCGGTTTACTAATACGATGGATGTCCTGCTGCTCGATGTAATTGTATTGCTTCAATTGCAGATATTGATCAGTGATCAGGATGTTATCTTTATAGTTTTTTTTTAATCTAATGGGAAATATGTTGAATTCAAGAGTTGGGATTTCATAATTCCGTCACTAATATAAAATACAGCTTTTGATGATTTTGCTTTGGATATACTTCCAATCTCTCAACTTAAGCTTTGAAACGGCATTCTGAAACAACTCATAATACATCTACATTGTATTAAAAAAAGCTTTTCATCTCCTGAGAAACTTTGTGGTTATTAAAATGGCAGGAAATTATGATGAGTCGAAAATAAGAATGTTGAGGCTCGCCAAGAATTGATGGCTTTTGATTGAAAAGAACTAACACTAGCTCCCTAAAACAGTGCAGAATAAATTTACAATTCATAATAAGATGGGGAAATGCCTGACAAGCAAAACCATGTGACGGCTACAAAAAAGATCGAAACACAGGGGAAAACGATCTCCAAAATGCCATGGAAAGAAATGTACTAATCATCTGGATCAACAAAAACAGTTTAAAGATGTTCCTTTAAAAGTATCAACATACCTTCCTCGTCAAATAAGGCTGCTAATATAGCAAGGCACACACATATGCTAATGTCTTCTCCTGAAAGAACAAGAGAACATATTACTTTCAAGGTATATAACGTTCATACCACATACAAAACTAACAAATTTAAAGTAAACAACCAAACATTTAAATATTTGCATTTAGTAGGATTGGCGTACAATTGAGTTAGTAGAAGATATAAACATTTCAGCCACCTTTAATGTGGCAAATCTTTCACCCTACAAGTCTTCCCCTATCCTAAGAGCATGACATGGTTATTTAACTATTAACTTTCTTAATTTTTGTTCTCTTTTCTCTTTCTTTTCTGTTTTATTTTTATTTCTTTCTTAGGTTTTTTCCCAATGGGGTAGTTTAGTAATTACTTGTTTCTTTAATCTTGTGGGTTCCTTATAAATACCTCATGCTTATTTGGAAGAGGGAAGTTTTAGTTTTAAAAAATTTTGTTTTATGTTATCCTGAGAATAGGGTGGATTCCCTAGATGCCGAGATATACCTTCTCTTCCTCATGGTTGTCCCTTCCATCTTACGACAGTGCTATCCTGGTTTGAGCAGCTTTCAGCGGTTCTGGGAAAAAAATAGGGTTCAGACTGCTTGCTGGGCTGAATTCCAGCTACTGAATCTATTGGTACTGGTTTGCCCGCCATTTCTCCTAGTCTTCCTATTGTTTTTTGCTTCTTGGGGCGGGTCCAGAAAGGAGTCTTTGGCTCTGGATGGAAAAAGCAAGGCTCCGGTCTTTTACGGCCTACACTAGGAGGCCTAAGGACGGACACAGCTGGGAGCCTTTGGCTCTGCACGTCTACAATAAGGGAATTTGACCTCACAGGACCAGCAGACGGAGCAACCCCCTATTAAAAAAATTGTAATTCAAGAAAATTTTCCATCAGGTTCCAATTTTTTGTGCAATTTAATGTTCCTTACACTTAATCAGTAACTAACTAATAGGTTGTCAAAATCTCAGTCATCCCTTGGCATTTGATCCCACGGTCAGGATGAGAATCCGTGGGAGGCTCACCTGGATCACGCCAATATCCTTCTATATTTGGGTAGCTGAATTAGGAAGGATTATATTGAGGCAATTATGTATCAATTAGAAGTTATTTATGTCTTTATTAAGACATCTTGTATATATCTATAAATAGGGATAAATTTGTATAATAAGAAGAAGGTATTTTTTTCCCTTCTCAAATTCTATGAATTCTAACATGGTATCAAAGCCAATGGCCTTAATTGCTGTCGGAGAACGATCTTATATCATCGGAGGAAAAAAAAAAAAAATCGGAGCATTGCTGCCGACCCTACACGCAGAAGCCGGAAGCCGAGAAGGAGCGGAAGTCCCGATCCAAACTTCCGATCCGATAGGAAGGACAAGTCGCCGAAGGAGGATAGTCGAACAGCCATGAGATGAAGTCGCCCGAGAGAATCGCTAGCAGAACTGATCCTGTCTGGAAGAATCGACCGCAAGAACCGAGCTCTGCAGACGACTAGGACGAAGCCCTTGCGGATGAAGCTTGACGAACAGACGATGGATGGAGGCCTAGACGGAAGTTGCAAGCCGCAGACGAAGCCTTGCCTTGACGGAGAGCAAGTCGTCCAAGGAGGATAGTAGAATAGCCACCAACGAGTCTTCAAAACTTCCGATCCGACAAGAGGAGCAAGTCGTCGAAGAAGGCCAGTCGAAGCCAACGACGGAAGAAGCGAAGACGTGCGACCAAAGCCATGGGCACGGACGGAGCAAGATCAAGTGTTGTCAATCCATCCAGTGGAGACCGGGCTTCGGCAGAGGCCACGTCAACTGAACTCCTCCTGCCGACCGAAAGAAGGAAGTCGGGACGGAGACTCGACTTGCGGCTTGAGAGGGCAAATCGTGCCTTTCTTTGTGTCAAAATCTCAGTCATCCATTGGCATTTTATCCCACGATCAGGATGAGAATCCGTGGGAGGCTCACCTGGATCACGCCAATATCCTTCTATATTTGGGTAGCTGAATTAGGAAGGATTATATTGAGGCAATTATGTATCAATTAGAAGTTATTTATTTCTTTATTAAGACATCTTGTATATATCTATAAATAGGGATAATTTTGTATAATAAAAAGAAGGTATTTTTTTCCCCTTCTCAAATTCTATGAATTCTAACATGGGTTTTTTTACAAAACCTTGTAGGAAATGGATCTACTCTGTTGGAAACATTCTACTTCCTTGAATCAAGAATTTGGGCCCTCAATTGAACAGTCAAACTGCAGCCCAAGTCCTGTCAGCCTAGTGTTTGTACAGTCACAACTCAGCCAGAGATGCCAAGAAAGAGATTGGGGGTATTTCCTTGGTAAAGTAAGAGGCCAGGGTTGTTGTTTCCCTCTTAGGGATCCTGTGTCTTGCTAATAGTTGATTTTCGTGCTTTCAATTCAGTTTTTTGGTTGCATTTTGTCTAAGCGAAGTCATTGAACTGTTTTTCGGCCGAATCCTTTTTTTTTCTTGGATGCTTTTTAATGTGTTTCACAATTTGTGGGAGGTTATAATTCAATAAAGCTGTCCAAGTTATTTGTTCCTTTGTTTCGGTGTCAAATTTGGGTACTAGATCCTAGGAGAAATCAACCCCCGACAAAACCAAGAATTAACCATGGAGGAATTATACCATGAAGTTCAACATTTACAAACTAGCTTAGAGGCTAATTAAAGGCATGATCGGGAATCATGCTCGTTTCATTCGCATGACGATGGAAAACCCTTTCCATCAAGCATTGCAAGTATCATCCAAAGAAGATGAACCCTATCATAGGAGAGAACTAATAAGACATTATCAAAATTTTGGGGTTAAGATCAACCTTTCCGATTTTGAAGGTGGGTTAAATATTGATAACTTCATAGATTGGCACCAAATGATGGAGTGCGTTGAATATAAAGATATTCCTATAGAGAGGTGCGTAGCACTTGTAGCCATCAAATTAAAGAAGAAAAAATCTATTTGGTGAGAAAATTTTAAAAGAACAAGGGCAAGAGAGGGTAAGAAAAAAATTGTCACTTGGGAAAAATGAAAAAAAAAAAAAACTTATCATCTCATTTTAAGAAAGATGCCTTTATTAAATTGCACTATTTCCAACAACAAAGTTTGAATAAACCAATGTTTCAAAACATCTTACATTGTCATCTTTAAATTAATTGAATTGTCAAATAATATTTGATGGGGACATCGACAAGAGATTCCGACGCGTTTATCAAAGGAAACATCGAAGATCGATGGCCATGATGGAGAGCCTATACTTTTGATGCACTTTATGCACTAGATAATTTATATTTCAGTTTTTCCATTTTTACCCCCATGGGTAGTATGTTTGCTTTTGTAGCCGAAGGTGCATTTTAGTCTATTTCCTTTTGTCATGTCAATGCCTATATATATAACCCTTTCTTATGTATTTGGATGATGAATGATTAATGAAAATTTCATGTGTTTTCTTCTTCTTCTTGTGTGAGCACTAGAGAGAAGGGAAAGAGAGCTCAAGGTGAGAGCAAGCGCAATACCCACCAGTCGTTGGAAGAGCCCGTGACTTGTGGTTTAATTTATTTTTCATTTCTTTTCCTCTCTTCCCCACCCCCACCCACAGACTCCTCCTAGCCCTTCCACCGCCGGCCATCTTCCCAATCCAAATCACCCCACAACTCCACCATCTCAAGCCCACCCGCCAACCTAGCCCCATCCAACCCGACACCTAGCCGCCCACTTCCCCATTGCCGCCGGCCCATCATTGTTTTCCCCTCATTATGGTGAGTCCAATCATCATAATGACTTCCTAATTTAGCTTAAGCAAGAGAGGGCAAGATTTGAATTCATTTGAAATTCAAATTCGAATTTCAAATTCTTTCCATATAGAGAATTCAAAATAAGGAAAGTATTTATTTATGAGCCAAATTTAAATTCAAAATAGATTGGATTTATTATTGGCTTTCTAAATTTACAAACCATGTTTGGAAACTCCTTAAAACTCTCCCACAAATCCCTCCTTTTCTCTTGATGTTGCCGGCCACCCCTTTAATGGGCTTTTAAGTTGTTTTCCTATTCAAGGCCTCAAACCACTTGAATTTGAATTTAATTTCAAATTAAATTTCCCTCCAGTTCCACTTAAACCTAAAATTAATTTCCACTTAAACAAATTTCCCTAGCCCTCATCCTAATTCCCCCTTTCTCCCACAAGCCGCCGGCACCCCCCATCACCCAAGCCGCCGGCTCTCCTCCTCTCCCTCAACCCCTACTTTTCTCCTCCCCTCTTCCCTACTTACTTACTCACACCTCTCGAGGGAAGCTTGTATGGCCGATCCTGAGGTCGACCACAACCTTGCCTACAACGCCCAACGGAAAATCAACATTCTACGCTACCCTTTCTATGTGCCGAACTGGGAGTACGACGACTCGGTGGAAGGCTACGTCAACCGCATCCTCTACTGCCTCGCGGAGACGATCAAGCTTCAACAACCCAGGGTACCTTGGCTTCTCATCGGAAGATCCACTCCTCCTCCACCGCCGACGACCTTCTCTTGGATTAAAGCCTTTGGTGTCGCCACCATCTTAGAGGCATCGTTTAGTGTGCTGAAAGCTTCTCTCCGCTAAAACCCTAGACTGAGTGTGAGTGAGAATGGTAACTCTTGGTGAACTCTCTAGATATTAAACTTTGGATCGGCATACCTAGTGTTATTGTGATAAATTTTGAATTGTCTTATCATGTTTTTATCTCTTAATTTTGCAACTGAATGCCAAGACAAATATACTAATTAAGAATTCTTATAATCAATCCTTACGACTTATTAAATTTAAAGTAGCACGCTTCGTAATGCTTTTATTAATTTCTTGCAATTCTTGGTTGGTGTCACATCAATATTATTTTTATTTATTTATTTTGACAAACATTCATTTTATTTTCTATTTTTTTAATGTTCCTGTAACTTAGAAGTATAATGTATCCACTTAGTTATACTGATAACTCACAATTAATGTTTAATTAATATTCTTAGATAAGATATTGAAAACTAAATCAGCACGAGAAGAGAATCCATGTATCATAGACATGTTGCTACAATAGAATGGTATTTATGTTAGAATTATCATATTTTTTGTTAAAAAAAATTTTGTGATTTAGTGACTCTTTTGATATATATAAATCAAAAGAAATTATTATGAGGAAGATATCTAAATAAGTATTTTGTTATTAGTTAGTGTTATTAAATAAAATTTAAAAATTTCATCTGATTGTCCATTCTAGTCTTAATATTACAACCTCTAGGCAAGATCGTGATACTTGGGGCAAGATTTTACTATCGTTGCTCAAGTAAAATACTAATTGTTATACCTTTCTTGCTAATTGCAATCTGCCAACTTGTTTAAATTTGGCATAATTGATTGAATTTTAGTCTATATATATATCTTGTGACTTGTTAAGCTTAGAGATACTTTGTTAGCAACCTAGCTTAATTAAGATGTGGGATGGCTGGTTTTGAGTTTGATGGGCATACATTTTTGCTACTTATTGTTGTTTTTCAAGAGACTTTGATGTTTAATGATCATTTGCTTTTGGCATTGTCAAATATCTATAGATATTAAAAGCACTCTGAGACCTTCAAAGTTTCAACGATGTGATTTTATTTGTTGTACTACGATCTTGTTTCACTATATGAGTTTGAACTATTATGGCTTAGCATTGATCTTAGATGCTTATCATGCTTAAAGAGTTTTTCCCTAACCCAGCTTAATATATAAAAAGGCTCCTCGAGTCTTCCTGGCAGGAAGATTTATACTTTTAAGTTTCTCTTCAAATTTGTTTAGGATTGTTTTAACCCATATATATTGCAATCCTAAGTACAAGTTAATTAAGAAGAATATTGTTCTAGAAGCCTTGTAAACAAACTATATATTCAGAAGCTTTATAGATATTAATTTGTAGATTCAAAACTCTTAAGGCTTGAATTAAATTTGTAAATTAAGCTGTTAAATTTACATATGTTTAGTTAGAAGAGTTTTACTATTTACATTGCAAACATTTGATCCATAAAGAAAAATTAAATTGTTGGTTACACTCAACATTATGCTAGTCATATTTCTAATTTTATTTTGATGATATGAGTATTCAAAACATTGCAATTCATTTTTTTGTTTGATATATTTATTTGAGTTCAGCTCAATAAATAACTTATTAATCTTATACATAAACATTTTAAATATCGAACCAAACTTAAATGTAGTAAAAATTAATGTACACAAACCAAATATGAACAATGTAAGAAAATAAAGAAGCATGCTTGCACGTTGGATTGCTCGCATAAATTCAACTCCTTGACACCCATATGAGATATGAACCAAAATTATCCCTTGACTCTTTATGAAGGAAAAAAATAATCCCCGACTATTTAGAAGTCCCATTTTAGTCCCTTGACTTATTAAATGGGGACATAAATGATCCAAAAAAAGACTAATTTGGTCCATATTTTAAGAGTCAATAGACCAAATTGATACTTTTATATAGTTGAGAACTTTTTTGGTCATTCAAAAAGTTGGGGAACGATTTGGTCCTTTTCTCCATCCATAATTATAAATCGTTTATTTCTTAATATTTAGTTTCAAAATAAAAATTGAAAAGTGTTGAAATCCAGCCGTTCCCAATGCAGAGGATCCGACGGACACAAAGATCAATCCGTGGGATGCTCTCATGGATCACGCCATAATGAAGGAAAGAATTTAGGAAAGATTTTATTAGAAATTTTATGTATTTTATTATTTCCTCATTAGGATATCTTGTATAGATCTATAAATAAGGAAGATTGTAATGAATAAAGACAAGTTTTTCCCTCTCAAATTCTCCGTTTTAACAAAAAGCACAACATAAAAAGATTCACATAAAAGCAAAAATCATAAAGTAAATATTTCTAAAAAAAGGCAGTATTTATTGTCGATAGATATAATGATTATCTATGACTTACCATTGCGCCAACAAATGACTAGTTTCTTCCCTCTTTTCAAGTGCCATCCTGCAAACCTTATTGCCAAATGAAGGCTATTCATCAAGGAAAATCTGTCCAGCTTTGAGGACTGCTTGAACAAACATAAAGAGGATCCGTATCTCCCAGCTTGAGGGGGAGTGTTGAAATCCAGCTGTTCCCAGTGCAGAGGATCCGACGGACACAAAGATCAATCCGTGGGATGCTCTCATGGATCACGCCATAATGAAGGAACGAATTTAGGAAAGATTTTATTAGAAATTTTATGTATTTTATTATTTCCTCATTATGATATCTTGTATATATCTATAAATAGGGAAGATTGTAATGAATAAAGACAAGTTTTTCCCTCTCAAATTCTCCGTTTTAACAAAAAGCACAACATCAAAAGATTTACATAAAAGCAAAAATCATAAAGTAAATATTTCCAAAAAAAGCAGTATTTATTGTCGATAGATATAATGATTATCTATGACTTACCATTGTGACAACAAATGACTAGTTTCTTCCCTCTTTTCAAGTGCCATCCTGCAAACCTTATTGCCAAATGAAGGCTATTCATCAAGGAAAATCTGTCCAGCTTTGAGGACTGCTTGAACAAACATAAAGAGGAAAAGAAAAAGTGAATTTTGAAATACCTGAAAGTTTATCTGAATGTTATGAACATATTTTCAACTAATCAGAAAATAAATATCGAGTTTCAGTAACAAACCAGAATAGGTAAATGCAAATAGCCATCATCTGTAGAGCATGGTGAAATTGATTTGGGGTCACAATTTAATATACAATCGGCACAAGTATAGGTATTTTCTCCTGTAGGAAAGCCATGCAAAAAAAGTCAAAAGGATCAGTGCAGAAGAACCAGGCAAACTGCAGACAACTAGAATTCTAACTAAAAAAAGTACTTAAATGATAAATTAGAGGGTGAGCTCGAAGCAATGATTTGGATGCCTCCATGGGTTTTGGGTGTCATAGGTTCAAATCACAAAAACAAACAAGTTAAAATACTAGGTTAAACTACGTACAACCATCGTCCTCAAACCCTGCATTAGCAGGAAGCCTCATGCATTAGGTATACCATTTTTATGCCTAAATTAAATCCTAATTTAGAAAACTTTAGTTCACGTATGCTAGACATTATTGATTGCTAAATGAACCTCCAGAAAAAAGGGACTAATAATCCTACCTCATCTCCCCATCATCATCATCATTGATTGTTTCAACCAAATTATTTAAGGTCAACTTTATGCATCCTCTTTCTCCATTCATTCGTGTATAGAGCTCATCATTAAAATTTTCACAAATCCCTTTTTGCAAAACTTTATATCCATATTGCCTTTAGTCTATCTTTTCTTGTTTCAAATCCTTTCCAATCAACTCATTATATCCATCTTATTGATGCACTTTCTACCCTTGGTGGTGCACGGGGAACCACCTAAGTCTACTTTAAAGTTTAAACAGATAATCGCGAACATGTGTTACTCCTATAATCTCTATAATATATATCAACTTACAATTCATGAATATAAACTTTATATAGCAAGAAAAAAATTAAAACCCCATTGGAGGATGATGGATTGTATAATCATTAGAAAACCATTCATATTTTATTGTTAACATTTTAATAAAAGATCATGAATATTTCCCCATTTGAGAAGGATAACTTCCATGAATATTTATTCTCATTAGAAGACCATCCCGTCGCCTTTGCCGCAACCACCACCATTGTAACAACCGCTAGGGATCACTTGAAAGTTGTCCACCATCACCACCTCCTCCTCTAAAACATTTTAGAGTATTAATCTCATCTTTACGTTGATGAAAAAAAATTATGAAAAAGAAATATGACTGAAATAAATGAATAAGAAGCATATTGTGAGGTATTGGATCACACAGGATGAGACAAAGAAAAAACTAAGTCGTTATGATGATGACTCAAATAAAAAGTTCCTTAGTGATGAAAGTACATATGATTTCTGAGTTATTGTCAATTATTTTAGCTTTCTTTAGGAAATAAATATGGATGAGTAGGGAGCTGAAAAATGAATTTGGAATTGACATTGATGTTATATGATACTTTTATGCAATTCCTATATTTAAAATAATTTTGGTTTGTAATATTTGAATTTGAATTTTATTTCACGCAATTTATCACTTACCACTTATTTTTATTTTCATTTTATGCAATTGTTTTATTTTGAGGCTTATGCTTCAAAACATCTTGAGTCTTACGCTTCGCCTCATGAACGAAAAATGACTCAATAACCAATTGCATAATTTTAAATCTTGATAAAGATATTAATTTGAGAAATTATTAAATGAGAGTTTTATGGAATATATTATTTTCAGAAAATTATAATAAATAATATAATGAAGTATATCATAGATTACTCTAAAAATGAAGAATACTTAACTATAAAAAAGATGCATAAATATAAGGATTTAAGTCACAATGAGATACCTTTAATATTTAGAGTCATGAGATATTTGGTGGACTGAGGAGACGTAAAGATCTATTAAGAAAAAGAAGTGTACTTCTAAAATGAGAAATAAATTGAATATTAATAATTTTAAGAAATTATAAGCTTTCAATGATTTATATAATAGTCTTAATGTCAAAGAAAGTGAAAAATGAGATATTTAGAATATCTAAGGTACACGACAAGAGATCTAGAGATTTTGATCAAATTAGATGCATTAAATTGAAGAAAATAAGATATTGGCTAAGATTAAAGACATCAAGGAAAGATGAATATATAAATTTGGGAAATTATTAAATGAGAGCTTTAAGTAAGAAATTATTTTTAGAAGAGCATAATGAACAATATAGTGAAGTATATCGTAATTGATCTACAGTTGAAGTATAATTAGCTCTAAAAATATGCATAAATGTTAGGATTTAAGTACAAATAAGATACTTCTAAGATTTAAAGAGTTCTAAGAAATATTGCAATAATTTGTTTAACAAATTTTTCATGGAATTTTGAAAATTAAGATATCAAATGATTGGAAAAATGGTTAAATGCCAATATTTGAAAACAAAAGTGATATTCAAGACTGTGCAAATTATAATGGTTTGAAAAGAATGGGCTTAAAAACCTCAAGCTTAAAAACACTCATCAAGAGTGAATAAAAAAAAAGATTATCATCCCATTGCCAAATAGTTGGGATAAGGCTAATGATGATGATTTCAACAATTCGGAGGTTTCATAACATGCATGAAAGTATCAGGTCTGATAGAAGCAGGCCTACTAATGAAAATTTTAAGCATAAATGGAAGAAGTAAAGTACACAATGGGCTTAAATATTAAAAAAATTAAAGTACTATGTAAAAAATCAAGGACAATGTGCATGACATTGTGGTGGCTCTTGAGTGTTGACCATGAGGCAGCTCATATAAGCTAGTGGCAACTCCTACTAATCTAAAAAGAAATACAAATTCTCTTTGCAGACAACCCAAAATTCATTTTGCAACATGATAATCTGTAAAATATAACAACAGAAAAACAAAGGCAATTATATTACCCTTCACTGTAGTTCCTACTGCAACATTGGTTGAACCAATCCAGTATAAGCCACGCTCTGAATTGGATGATTTGGCACTCACAGAATCTGAAAGTTCAGATGTCATAGACATACAGGACTGCTCAGCATTGCTCGTCAGTTTCTTCCAAGTTCTGATTGCAACTTGAGGAGAAAAATCACCCCTCTGGGCACGGTACACTCTGTCTTTTTCAACAAGCTCAGAAACATTTTGGTTGCACATGCTAGGCCCTGAATCAATGAGATTATATGCATGTTTCCAAAATAAAGTAGGATGTAAACCTCGCGCCCAACTCTCTTCATCATCTCCAGCTCCAGGAATATAATGCCAACTAAATTCTGAGGTGCTTCTTTGTTGAATTGTTCCATGTGATGCTGAAGCTGAAACCAGAATGATAGGTGTGAAATCCCAGGAATCATAATTAGGTACTTCATTCAACCAGATAACAGTCTTCTGAGAAATCCACAAAGGACGCAGTGGCTTTTGAATTATTGATGCAAGTGAATCTATATCTGCACCACAAGCTTCCAACTGCCAGGTCCATTCCTCAATATGATCCTCTATTGCAGCTCTCTCAGTATTAGAAACCCATAGCGGAAGATGCAAGGAGCAATCCCAATCAGGTGAATTGTGCCTTTCCATGATCTCACTAGATGAGATACTCAAGTCCTGCAACCAAAGAAAGTTACAGGTACAGACATCTACTTAAATCTTTAAGCATTGTAGAGGAAGATAAGTATTAAGAGTGTCAATGCAATAGAAGGGATTCTTACTAGAAAAAGTTCAACGAAATTACACAGTATAGTGCTTAAGTCAAAGTTTGATGCAGCATGAAGACAGAGATGGTTTAATAGTATAAATTTTTCTTGTTCCTTGATGAGGCTGGCAATATTGTTGAATTATGGTTTTCAAGAGAGAGTATGACGAGTAAGAGAGGTTTTAGGACTTTCAAAAACAGGTAAAGAGGTGGGAAAAGAAGAGGAAGTCTTTTTGTCTAGCGATATAATGGGGGTCGAGAGGAATTATCAAAGGAGAAGAGAGAGAGCTACTTTGCAGAGAGATGAAGTTGTGTTAGAGAGATGATGTAGGTATTGGATAGAGGGGAAAGTTAAGCTCGGTTTCTTTAATTATATGATAGAGAAGTTGGTGGACTACTATATGGAGATGTGTGGAATAATATTAACTGGTTAGATATGGAATCTATAATCAGATGGCAAAAGGAGAGAATTGGGTGAGCTTTTAAGAGTTTGGATAAGGTTTTAAGATATTTAAGCTTAAATTTTTTTTAAAAAACCAAATGATACTAAGTTGAAGATTAAAATTTTTGATATCACATTCAAACATTTACGAAAGCATTTTAGCAAATCTTACATTGCAGGAGGCACATTTGATACCAATCAAAGAAGTTTATAAGCAATGTAAAAAACCAGTATGATCTTATGTTCCATCAAATGTTGAAATATCTTTCTCAACATTATAAGAATTGTCAGAATATTCATCATCATAATATTTTTTGAATCCAAACAAATTTTATAATTATGATACAGACCATCAAATTTTGTTTTGTAGAGTTTTGATTAATAAATGTGGGAATGACTTTAAAATTTTTAAATCACATTATTTCATCCATACTTCTTCAATGCTCATTTGAGAGTCATTCTCTAACCAACCATTCTTTTTATGCAACTGCAGACAGGATAAATGATATGCTAAAACCAATAATCAAGCACAAATGTCATGGAAAAAAAAGGCCCACATGCATGAATATGTCAAATAACAATGGATCAAGTTTATGCACTCAATCTATTAAGATTGCCTAGATGCAACGCACAACTTTATTTGTTGAATAATAAGACATCGCTAGACAAAATTAAATAATTAAAATTCCAACCTCAATTCTGAAATGATTACAGAAAACTAATATCGATGATTATATTAAAGTTTATATTTCATTATGCAAAAACAAAGTAATTTTTTAAGACAGCTAAAATCCTTCAAAAAATTTTGTTTTAGAAAAAAAGATTTCAGTAGCTTTGACAAAATAATAAGATTCCTAATTAATTAGAGTTAAAGTCCAAGGTTTAGAAATAAGGTTAGAGCTAACATGACAAACTTGATCACGCAAATTTTTATAGAGCTTCCTAAAGTTGAATCCGGAATGTATTAATAGATTCACAAACAGACACTGAAATCTACTCTACTTATCAAGACAAAGTTATAGCTTAACATATAGCAAAGACGAATCAATGCTTCTGAGACAGTCTCCTTGAAGTTAATGATCTTTGAACTTCAAACATAAAATTGAATCTAAATATGGAGGAAGACAATATCTCTAATGGAGGATCAACAGAGAAAAATAAATTTAATCTTCTCTGAATCTACTCATAAAAAAAGTGTAGAGAAATTAATTATAAAAAAGGAGTGACATAAAATTGTTGAAGTTTTCCTTACAACCAATTAAACAAAATCTTAAAATAGAAACTAACAATCAATGTCATAAAAATTAAATTCATCAAGTCACACAAAATTTATAATGATGAACATTCAGACAATTCCAATCATGTGAGGAAAGATGCTTTATTTTCCATATTCCACCCTTTCATCTTAAACTCCAAAACTAATAAGCAATGTTGAGTACATAAACTTTCACTCGGAATAACTTTACAATCTTAACGAACAGCATGCAACCAAAAAAATTAAAATGAACTTTCTGAACTTAATAACACGGCCAAAAAATGAAAATATACCTATATAAATGCAAAAATAGAATATCTAACACTAAAATGCAATATACATCGCATTAAATGAATTGCAAGGACTAGAATTGAACACAAACATTAGATTGAAACAAAACTTACTGGGGATTTGAAAGCTCGTGAACAAACAAGATAATGTATAATTAAACATCTTCACTATTATTAAGAACTCCCTTGAACACTCAAAACCCTTAAGAACATACTATATGAGTTGAACTTAGAATGAAAATGAACTAAAGTGAACTGTTATTTATATACAGAAGAATGCCTTGTGGGGTCTACCTGAGTAAAATGCAAGTCACAAATGTAAGAGATACGAACCCATGACACTTGTAATTGAATCCACAATATACGGAGAAGTGGATAGAATGCAAACATTAATAAACTCAAAATACAAAATCACATGCATGTTTTAAGGACAATGCATTCCATGAATGAGTGCTACATCAGACCCCTACATATCCCAAATAGCCACGTTCACATGAATAGTTTTCAAACAAAATAAAATGGTTCAAGCTGTTGCACATCACGAGTTGCACAAATATCTTAAGTGACGTGCATAATAAGGAACTCATACACATTCGATGAACAAACAGTAGTGAACAAATAGTGCGGCCTATAAATATAAATTCCCCAAATGAGACAAAACCATTCACGGTTGTGTCATGGGTTGCACGACCATTTCGACGAGGAGTGCATGACACATCAAATCACCAAAAGCATGTTGTCCGCGCATTCCCCAAAACATGCAAATGTATTGAAAAGCATCAAGCGAATTGTATTAGCGCACCGAATATCATATACACATGTAAATGCATCACACAATTGCATCAATAAATGTGCAAGAGTGATATGCAAGTGCATCATGAATTATACAAATACACTGCATGTTCTACGACCAACTACATCAAACTTTTGAATTTGAAATATGAGAATATTGCACAGGCTAAAATAAAAATAAACTTGAATTTAAGATCATATCGAAAAGCATGCGACTATTTTAAAAAGCTTCTATAACATTTTTCTAAAACATTTAAAAACAAGCTCATCCACATGGGCTCCAATGAACATGCTAAATATTCAAATTTAATGTCAGATAATGCTGCGTTGATTGAAAATAATATGAATACAAACTCTACTGCTTCCAGAAACATGCATTTGACCCGAAAAGGATGCAATAACTAAAAAATCTTACAATCTCCTTTCAAAGTTAAATTCATTAATATATAAAACAAGCAGAAATAAATAACAAAATGCACGAACTGCAAAAAAATAAACAAAACGAATACAGTTCTCAATCCCAACAACTGCTGCCAAGTTATAATATGTAGTTTCATCAACTCAAAATCCATACTCACAAAACAGGCACCTCTGATTTCTGCGTTGAATTGGGAAACATCTCAAATTTGAAAAACAAATTTCTGAAAAACCAAAAAAAAAAAAACTTCTAACATACCTGATGGCCATCCACCTGAATCTGTCTTGGCATCCTCCTTAACCACCGCTCTATTGCTCGATTCAACACACAAGTCCATATAGGTATCGTCTTCGACATGCTGTCAGGGAAGCGCTTCCCCTTGCGTGTAGAATCGACTACAATACATCCTCCTCTCTGCCCTACCCAAGGCAAAGAAGAACTCAAAAGATGCAACTTTTTTACCATATTCACCCAAACCCTATCCTCTATACAACATCATTCAACAAAATCCAACCAAAATGGCGTTGGTGATGTACCGGCGAGAAGAGCGAGGTGGAGGTTAAGGCGCGAGGTGCTAAAAGACCAGTTGTTGGCATGGCCGTCGGTGGACTTGAAGTAGCAAGTGGCCTCGAACCGCGGCGAGTACCAGAGTCCACAACGGAGGTTAGCCACTAAGGGAAGATCCGGCCAAAGCCCGGCGATCTCCGCCACGAAGATAGAGTCCTCGTATATGGAACGGAGGGCGTTGTACAGGGAATTATGTTTCCTCTTTATGCTCCTAGCTACACGGTATATGCTAGTGACCCTCTCCTCCTCCAGTTCTGCTAACGCCGCCGCAGAAGCAGCCATTGTCCTCCGGACGACGGTGATGTTGCCCTAGGATGCAACGGGCCCGATACCTGTTGTTGGAGATGGCCAAAGACGTGGCGAACGCAAGAAGAAGAAGAATGGAAACGGGAGAGCTGCGGCGCGGACAGTAGGGTTGCAGAGCGGGTTTAGATGAAACTAAAGTGTCCCTCACAAGGTAAAAATAATAATTTTATTTTAGTATTTTAATTTTTTAAACAAGAATTTAAACAATTCTAAAAATAATAATTTAATTTCAATTTAAAAAATTAAAAATCAACTTGATATTTTTATATAATCAAAATTATTTTGATCCATCATATGAAATATAATTAAGAGCAAATTTTTATTAGAGTTTAATATATTTTATGAAATTAATTTAGAAAAATTGGGTTAGATTTTTTTGTCACATAAAAGGACAGCCTTCCGATGACCTGGAAAGAAAAATAGAGGTATTATATTTGACTTATATTAAGAAAGTTAGAGCTAGATCTAAAAAGAATTGGTTAGAAAATATTAGAAATAGTCTTTTTTTATTAGATTTAAACTAACATTTGACTTTTAACATGACACAATGGAGAAAAATTATTCATGCAACAAACCTCACGTAGTGGGACAAAAGATTGATGTTGTTGTTATGGTGGTACAAAATTTTATACAATATTGACATATGCGTTAACAATTATTATATTATTAAATATCGTAATTAATATATTAATACTTTGCTAATTAAAATATAATTAGCTAAATTAAATTATAATCATTCTAAGTTAATACTTTGACATTAACTCAATCATAATACTTAATTCAAGTATAAATAATTAGCCTAATTAATTTACTGATTAATAATCCTATGATAATTCAAAATTTAATACCATTTTTAAATAATTTCTAATGGTTAAAGTACTCAATCAAATTCTCAAAAAACTCATTTTATTTAAATTTAAATTAAATTATTAAGTATTTAAATAAATAATATAAATATCAAATAACTCCAAATTTGAGAATTGGAAGATAATAACTAAATAGGTTTTTAATATTAACTAATCACTACCTTCTTGAACTTTTATATTGTGGATAGGTTACTCATTCTAGACCACAACTATATTGGCAATTTAGAAGGGATCAAGTCAATGATTGCATAAATATATTACTTCAAAGATAAAAGAGAATATAATACGAGTACTCATAGGGTCATTAGGTGATATATAATGTCCTATTTATAGTATTATATGCACTAATTATTTTTGGCAAGTATGAACATAATTAATTTTTATAATATATCATTTTTTTTATCATTATTAGGGCTTATTGACACATTTAGGCTTCGTTTGTGATAGATTTTGGTCACTACTTTCTCGATAATTTTAGAAAGTTTTGTGCAAGAAAGATGTTATAGAAAGCAGTAAGAAACTATCCTAAATGAAACCTTAGCACTACCTTCGAACGCCTTTTCCATTTCATATTACCAACGATCCTTTTGCCTAGGCTATTATTTTATACGTAATTCTCGCTTTACTCTTTAAAGGATATATAATTGAAATCTTTTTTCGAGCTTTGATCTAATGGTTTGCATTATTATTAGCACTAGTATTTCTTTGTTATTGATTTTATCAGAACTACAAAGCTATTTATGCGATGAGAGGATGAAGGTATTCGAGTATGTTTGATTGATGTGATATGCTACATATAAATGATTCATTGTGAATATTGTACTTAGATATTATTGCGGATAGGTCAATTATAATAAGGTTGTTTTATATGTTTATAAGAGTTCAGAGTAGGGGAATCATTAAAGGTCAAGATATGATTAAGGCTTCGTTTGGGACGGTTTTTTTATTACTTTTTAAAACGGAGTTTTAATACAAAAATAAAAAAAATTGTACTAAAACTCCGTTTTAGAAAACAATAAAAAAGCCGTCCCAAACGAAGCCTAAATAAGATTGGATTTGCCTAACACAACACTTGGATAAGAGATAATGATTGGCTTTGATAGCTCATATCACACTCGAGAAATGATAGGATGAGAGAAGATAAGGACAAGGCCTCTTACTCTAAAGATCCTTAGTCAAACCAATGACCATGAGAATGCGGGTTCAATACAAAGTCATAGTTTTAATGAGCTTGTAATCTCAATTCATTTAAATCATTATTTTTTTATAGTTATAATTGGGCATTCTACTTGTGGGAGAGCTGGTGCCAAGTGCCACGCGTGATGACGAATGCTCCACCTTAAAAGGGAGGATAATTTCCATTGTAGAGACTAAAAGCAAAGGAAGTCACCCAGGGTTGTTTAGCTTGGTTGGTGGTCGAGTACGGTCAGAAATCCCCCAACTCGTGTTCCCAACCGTACTCGATTCCCCTCGAGCGACAACACCTCTTAAGTGGGTCACAATCAAGTGCGGGCTAAAAGGTTTCTGGGGTGGATGTCGCTTCTAGGTCAGCCGTGCATTAGTCATGCCGCCAAATGCCCTTTCAGGGGTGACAACAGGTGGATACCCCATTTCCAAAAATTATATAAAAAAAAATATATGCAAAAGTAAAATAGGAGCATAATTGGTGGTTCTATAGGTCCACAATACATAAGCCAACTTTTCATGTGGCTTGTTAGTAGCAAGAACTTCTTATTACTAGCTTATCTCTCTCTCTCATACTCTCCACTTTGGAGAACAATCTTAAAGATAGGAAGAAGATAATTGCAACAAAAACTTATTGAGATTTAATGATCCCCGATCGAGCTACTGATTGTTTTAACACATTAGGGTTTTATTTGAGACAATTTTTCTAGTACTTTCTAAAACAATTTTTAGTACAATAAATTCTTAAATTAAAATTTTTTAAATTAAAAAGCAATAAAAAAGCTAACACAAACAAAATCTAGATCAATCTTTAAGTTATTACCTTCTTTCTTACATTATTCAAGTAACTCATCTTTACTGATTAACATAACTAGATCTAGCACCAAAGCTTATGCTTATGATCTTAATTATCCCACATCAATGTCCATACTATAAATAAAACTGTCAAAAATATTAACTCTAACTATGATTGTAAATTTCATAATTAAATCATCTTCTATACTTTCAATTGATGATAAAATGCAAAGAAAAATAGTTCTATAAAAATACAATTGAGAAATCACATCATTCCCATATATTAAATAGATATCAAGCATGTCAAAACATTTTTATTATACCCCAAGATAAATAAACTTGTTATAATGACAAAATTTAGGCTTCATTTATGATGATTTTTTTCCTATTTTTTAAATTAAATTTTTAATATAAAAAATTAAAATTTTTATACTAAAAACTGTTTTAAAACGCAGTAAAAAAATCATCCCAAACAAATCCTTATACTATCTGCTTGACTGCTTGGGCTTAATAAAAGTAAAGCAAAGTGCAATTTTTATATTAAAATCTGCTTTAAGAAGCAACAAGAAAGCCATCCCAAGCAAAGCCTCGCCATGCAATTCACCAAAACTTTAATTTAACGTTGTGAAACCAAACAAAACTAACAGCGGCTAATAAGAAGAGCATATATCCAACTAATATACCAACTGCTGCAATGGAAGAAGAAGAGAGCGTATCTATGCTCAAGTTTATCAAGCCAGTAAGCACATTTGCCTGGACCAAAAGAACTATGGTTAATTTTCAAGAAGAAGACCATGTGAAAGGGAACAGAAGTCTATACTGATTTGATTTTAAAACACACAACTGACCAGAAGGAAAGATCCAAGAAGATTCTGGTTAAATACTTCTTCAAGCAACAATGGTCGTTGCACAGGTACAAAATCTGAAAGCATTAGCACAGACAAAACCTGCAAAAAAATTGAAATATTAAAAGCGCAATGAGTAAGGTTTCGTTAAGGATAACTTTTTTTTTGCTTCTTAAAGCAGCTTTTTATTGTACCAAAAAGCAACTTTAAGAAACAACAAGAAAGCTGTCACAAACGAAGCCTAAGTTTCAAAAATATTTCATGCAAGGTAGAAGTGAGTAACTTAAAAAAAAAAAAGTAGAAATGAGTAAGTACCTGCAAATTCAGGGCCAGAACAAATGTGACATATGACAAGTTGCACTGCATTGAACAACTTAAATTAGTGAATTTACAGTGAAAATATTTAGAGCTAAATTGGGCGAAACCAAGAAATTTATTTTTACTGTAGAATATATAGGTTAGAGATCAAGTTTAGTATTAAGTTCATCAACAATTATTCGTTAGAGTGGTCATTGAATCATCTATAAAAATAATAGCAAGAATAGCTTGTCTTGTAGCTATTCCGACTCTCTATCCTCTTCAATGGAGTCTTCTGATAGGAAACACTTGGATTTCCAAGTGTTTCTCACCAAAACCAAGTAGATCCAATGTGAAACTGCTGTCCACAGCAGAAATCAGCCAAGAAACAGGGAAAAACAGGAAGAATACGCTAGAAATCTGAGAAGAATTCACACAAATCAATTGTATTCCAATAGTAGAAGCAAGACAATAAGAAACATACAATGTTCTTCGATTCGAGAGGAAGAACAACTCTCCGAAAATCTCCGGCAACGCCAAGAGCCCAAGCAAGAAACCCTAGATCTCAAATTACATTCAAATTCAAGATGAGCCCCCTCTCCCTCCTAATCCCCCTAATTAACAATAAAGGATTCCTACAAATTACCTAAACAGCCCTTTGCATTCAAAAATTTCCCTCCCACATAATCAAATCAGCCCCAAGTGGGGTCCACCTTGTCCGCCCCCTCCTCTGGACGTTTCCGCCTCCGCCTGGTGTAGACCCGGGTTGAACCGGGTCCAGCTGGCCCCTCTTGGGCCGGTTCAAGCGTAACATCTTCTCAACGATCTCAGGCACTTTCGTAGACAATAACCAACATGCTAGCTACTCTAGCATTTCTATAAGGCAATCTTCGCTGCCATTTGGATGCTCTGAAACTTTGGGATGGTTTAGGTTTTCTTTTCACCTTTCTTAATGCATATTTTTTCACAACAAATTTTATGATGTTTTATGTGCTTCATGATGATCAAGGTTCAAATAATAAAACAAATTATTAGTCTTAATTCTTGAAAGTCTCCAATTATACCTAAGAGCATTTGATGCTAATTCTATCATAACTAGTAAAAATATGAGGATCGCGTGTCAATGGTTGAAGGAAAATCCAAAGGGAATCTTCCAAAAGGGCCAAATAACATGTGATAAGTAAAAAAATGTTAATCTTGGTGATTTTTAGATGAAAAAACTAATTTCCTACAGTTGTTTAAGCATAAGGGCCAAATCTCAACTTAGCCTCCAATAAAAATTGAAGTGTATCCATTCAAACACTTTTCATGCTAAAGTAAAATTTCTTACCATTCGTCGAGAAACTCTGTCCACATATCTGTCCAGAATTACAGTCAATGACCTGTTCATGATACAGTGAACAAAAAAAAAAGATTTATTGGTCTATATATTAGTAACGAAACATACCAAAAAAATTCTGAGGGACATAAAAGAATAAGAGAGATGTAAGTAATATAAATCAGGTAAATATTACCAAAATATAATGCAAAGAATCCAAACACTACTCCGTGTATGCTGTTTGTTTGCAGCTTTAGTTGATGCTCCATTCACAAAGAAAATGCTAAAGCCCAAATGTACACCTATGAGATACATACCCCAATATCCTGCCAAATAAAAATAGAATTCGAGAACTTATTTTCTGATTGAAACTGAGGAGAATAAACGTAGCTAATGTTAAAGTGAAAAAGAGAAGCTCGGATCCTATGCAATGCAGACACTAAACCTATTACAGTTGGAATAAAGGACAGCAACCAATCAAGAGAACTTGGTGGAAAAGTCATGAACAGTCATTCAAAGAAGTGAATTTCATGAAGTCCTGCTTTTGGAATAAGTGAACTGTTGGCTATATAAATACTACAACATAACTGTTTGGGAGCATGGAATCATCAAAAAATTTTAAAACAGCTTAACTTCTGTCACATCAAGATAGTTCTCCATAGTTGTGGATAAACTTTTTTCCCTGTATTTTCTTAACTTTCTCATTCTTCTCTTTTCTGTGCTTAAATTAAAACTCACGCTCTATTTAAGCAGAATCCCTCTCAACAATCGACCCAAAGCAAAAGGCAAGCAAGCTAAAATTCAATGCAAAATCCAGCACTCATGTATGAGAGGAGATGATTTAAAAACCAATTCAACAACATCAAGCCTTAATCCCACTACGTGGGGTCGGCTACATGAATCCTTTTTCTCCATTGTGTCCTATTAAAAGTCAAATTCTCGATTAAATCTAATAAAGAAAGGTCATTCCTAATATTTTCTAACCAAGTCTTTTTAGATCTGCCCCTACCTTTCTTAACATAAGTCAAATCAGTCAATCTTGTCCATCACCTTTATTCTTAAAAATAGGAATTAACACACTCATTCTCCACTCATCTGACATCTTTTAGTCTTCAAAACAGTATTAAAAAGTTTAATAAGCCAAGAAATTCATTCATCTCCTAAGCCTTTCCACACCTCTATTGGAATCATCAGGTCCAACAGCTTTTCCACCCTTCATTTTCTTTAAGCCTCTCTAACTTCGGCTTTAGTAATACGCCGATAAAAACAAAAATTTTTATTTTCATATAGGGTGTTAAGGTCGCTACATTCAATCTTATTTTCACAATCTTCATTAAAAAAATTAGCAAAATATTTCATCCATCTTTGTTGTATATCATATTCTAAAAAAAGTATTTTCTGATCTTCATCCTTAATACACTTCACTTGAACAAAATCCTTCAAATTGTTTTCTTAGATTCCTTACAGGCTTGTTTATATCTTTCCCAATTATCAGAGTTTTTAAAATTAAACCAATTTTTATAACAAATCTTCTTATTTTTAATCTTTTCTTGTACATTTGGATTTCACCACCAACTATTTTTACTATTAGGATCTTTTCCCTTTGATACTCCAAGCACATCTTTTGCAATTTTCTTAATATCACTAGCCACTTTTTCCCACATAACATTAGCATCCTCATGCAAAAACAAAATCTTAAGATCTAAAATCATACTCTCAAAAATATTTTTTTAATAATTTTTAAATACTCCTATATAATCCTAGAATATCGTTTTACTTTATTTTTTATTTTTTGCCCTTTTATCTTAAAGTCCAAAACTAATAATCGATGTTGGTTACATAAATTTTCACTCGGAATACCTTTACAATCTTTGCAATCTAAACGATCTAATTTTCTTATAAGAAAATAGTCAATCTGAGTTGTAATATATCCATTTTTATAAGTGATGAGATACTGATTCCTTTTCTTAAATAAGGTATTAGCAATTAAAAAATTATAAGCTAAACAAAAATCTAATATGATCTTGCCACCTTCATTTGTCGTTTCAAATCCATGACCACCATGAATGCTTTTAAAATCATCTGCCTCTCTACCAACATGTCCATTTAAATCTCCTCCAATAAAAACTCTTTCTTAAGAGGTATCTTTTGTATTAATTCTTCTAAGTCATTCCAAAAATTTAATTTAGAACTCATATCCAAAACTACTTGAAGAGCATAAGCACTTATAATATTAACAATCTTAGCATCAACAATAATCTTTAAAGCTATAATTATATCTCCAATCCTATTAATATTAATAAAATTATCCTTCAACCTCTTATCTATAATAACACCTACACCATTTCTAGTACGACTCTTACTCGAATACCAAAGTTTAAATCCTAAACTATCAATTTCCTTTGTCTTCTCTCAAACTCATTTAATTTCTTGAATGCACAAAATATTTAACACTGTCTTTGCCAGGTTCCAAGTCCTGGATGAGAAAAGTGGAGGACTGCATTAGGTAGTTAACAGCCAGCGTAAAATTTGTCGAATAATAATGACATGAATCCTTCAAAACTAATTCAAGTTGAAATTAAATTTGAGTAATCTAAAATTAAAAAAACAAATGTAATAAACATCTAAATTTTGATTTTATCCTAAAAATAAATATAATTTATTATTATCTTAAAAATAGTATATTTAGAGTTTATGCATATCTTGACTAAATTATTGAGTGAAATTTCTACCTCCCCTCAATTTATTATTATGGCAATAACGTTTTAGATCACTTATATGGCTCTTCTCCAAATTGAGCTTCTCAAGCTCCTAAAGTCCCAAAAGCCAGAGCATAGAACAACCTTAACAAGCTCAATTGAAGCCTAAACTTAACACCCATGATAACCCTACGAAGCATATTTGTTACACACCAAAGTAAATTCATTGATATCAAAAGTGCCCCAACCACTAAATTTTTGTACACCCTAAATAATGAGAATATACGTGAAAAGGTTGGAGTATCTCCAATGGAAGATAATATTAGAGAGAGTTGCCTTAGATGGTTTCGTCACATAAAACGGTGGCCTTCTGATGACCAGATTAGAAAAATAGATGTGTTAGATTTGACTTATGTTAAGAAGGGTGGAGGTAGACCTAGAAAATATTAGAAATGACATTTCTTTATTAGATTTAAATAAGAATTTAACTTTTAACATGGTACAATGACGAAAAAGGATTCATATAGCCAACCCCACATAGTGCGATAAAGGCTTGATGTTGTTGTTGTTGAACTAGTTGTCCCATTGCTCTAAAAATTGCAATAGTACAATCTAGCACAAAGATAGACCATGCAACATGAGATCGATCCATCATCATATCAAATAGTATTTCTCTCAATTCGTAACAACCTTTGTTCTAAAATATGAGTAGCAATAAAAAATTTAATATTTATCTATTTTCTTGAGTAATAATGCTCCAATAAAGATGATGAAATTGAAGCAACTTCGCTCAGAATTTCACCTACAACACAAAGTTCATTAAATCCCTTCAATGAAATCAATATAACATTCCAAACTTTAAGAACTTCCAACATCTCCTAATATCCAGCATCACTAAAAGCGCCCAAAAAATACAAAATCTTCCTGATGTATGGTACAAATTGTCCTATCATATTATCACGCATCTTCAAATTCATAGTATTAGAACCAAGTGTTTTGCACATCGCATTTTTCCTTATATAAACATAGTTACTATAGCAAATGGCTAAAATATAGAAAACAAATAATTGAGATGAAACATATTGAAACTAAAATCCAGTGATCATTGCATATGTTTTCACATTTACCAAAAGAGCATCATTCTATCATGCACAAGAACAATTTGCACAATATTAACATCAACTAACTTATCTTTCTTGTGGTAGTCTAGCATGCTACTCTGTTCTATTCATAGTATGACAATCATCTTTAATGTGTCATTTCTTTTTGCAGTAAAAGCAAGTCATGTCCTCATACATAACATAAGACTGCTTTTTTCTATGACTAAAAGAAAATTCTTTCTCAAAAGGTCTCCCCCTAACAAACAATCCCTCATTCACTTTTCATCTCCAACACCCTCAAGCTTGAAAATAAACATATGTATTAAAAAATAAATTATTAACATCCTCTAAGCTAAAGCTATCCATATCCTACAACATCACGCAATAAAATGCTAATAAGAGAGAGCTAAAAAGCATAATAGTAACAAAGCTTAGTCTGCCTGATCAGCCATCATATCACTATTCCTCATATCTCTAGCAATCGAATTAAACTCATTAAGATTTGTTTTGATGGTGCACCTCCTTGCATGCTTAATAAGAACAATCTCTACCTACAATAAAGCCAATAGAGAGATATTTTATCATGTACAAATCGTCCAACAAAGCCCTAGCAATCGAATTAAACTCATTAAGATATGATTTTTCATCCATCTTAACTTATTTCTTCATTCATAATTTTAGGCATATTTAACTGCCCCATGAGTTCCTTTACAAGTCTTTAATAGGTCAAAACACCAAACATTGTTCTCAAAAGCCTATATCCAAGCCATCAAAATTCTTGATCTCAGCCATCATATTCTATATTAGACTCTAATATCATTATTTAGGAAAAACACCTTTTAAGCATCGACCAAGAATAAATATGATGAAGACAAAAGGAGAACATAGCATAGCAAATACAAGAAAAAGAGTAATTAGTCCATCACTAAGTTCGTGATGTAGAAATCCTTAGCTGCAACAATAGAAAGAAACTGAAACAGAGAAGAAGTGCTATAACTTCATATTGCAGTTTTTATGAAGAAGAAGTATCGAATACTAAGGATGCATGGGTATTTGTATACGCCTTGTACAGTAGTTGGTAACAAAACAAAGGTTCAGATTGCTGTTTCAGAGAATCAACAATCCAGATGCAGAAATAAGAGAATGGTAGTGTATGGCAGAGTAGTGTGGAGCAGAGAACTTGATGTAGACAAAGGGGGGGTCAACTCATGTCCAAAATAAATCAATTTTGGCCTCCCTCGAGTTTACAAGCTCAATCAAAATTGAGCTGAAATTTTAGCTCATTTATGAGCTGGTCTTTAGTTCACTTATTGAACTAAGGGTTAGCTCATTATTAGCTAACATTTTAGTTCATATTTATCTTTTATTAAATGTTATAGTTTTTATTATTATATGTTTCTAATTATGTTAGTCTCTTGGAATTCCAAAGCGGCTTTTGGAATTCCAATATGTTGTTTCGTTTTCCCATTCGGTGGCTCTTTGGATTCCACCATGGGTTTTATTTTTTGTGCCTTTGCCCCTTGGGAT